TTAATGAGTTTCAAAGATTAAGCTAGTATTAAAATTAATAATAGATTGATGCTAATGATATCAACTCAATTTCATGGATAATGATGCTCTTAGTTTCTTTAATCATTGTTTGAGCTTTGTGCATGACAAAATAGAGCATAAAATGCAAATCAAAGTATTTTATAATTCCATGTAATAACCTGAATGGTTTAAGATTAGATCACCATCATATACATGTTGGTTTTAGAATAACAGCTTAACATTAGAAACTCTTGCATAAATAAACTTGTTGATCGAACAACAATGAAAAAGATGGTTTTGGAATAATAGCATTACATCAGAAAAAAAGTTTTGCATAAACATGATCAGTGATAAAGATTGTTACATAGCATACCATTCATTAGATTTGCTATTAATCGGACTAAGTCTTCATCGCGTCATGACTCTCATGATCAACAACCATCTCAATGCCATTACCCATTCTAAACTTGAAATCTCTCAGATTATCCATCCAAACACTGTAACTCGACCTCTCCGCCAAAACATCCTTCGANACCTCCATCTTCTTCACCAATGTATCCGCATAACTCTCAAATCCAACAATCTTTCCCCATAACAAAGACCGCCTTTGCGCATCAGTACTATTCTCGCTTCTTATCTCATCCAACCACTCTTTTGCTTCCTCAAGCTTAGCCCANAAGCAAGTATCTTGCGTCGTANTCGCGTATCTGCTTCTCNCAANCTTCTCTTTCACAGGCTNCCTTTCTCTTCTNCACCACTTATCAATCACTTCATACCTTTTAGGTCTATTCCCNTNCTCCAAGTAATGCCCATCACTCCTTGGATCTCTATNCTTATAGAAATACGCAATGTCGAGTGGCTCGGCTAAGAGTTGATAGAATTGAGATGNGTAAATCCATTTANTCCCCAAATGAAAATCAAAAGGTAACTCATTCTTCTCAATCATTTNAAGCACTCTGTCCCAAAACCTAGCTAGCCTTAACCGGCTCATGTTCACCTTGTAGTCTCTTTTCATCGAATGCCTTTTGAAGAAATCGTAGTAACCGAGTTTCTCTTCCGACGCGTCGCAACGTTCTTTGTACCATTGAATCTCGAGTCGAGATGGCAAGATATTACCAAGCTCAACAGCTAACTCAGTGGCTCTCAAAATCGGAGCACGACCGACTCTTGTAGCTGTTTTTATACATTCCTTGGCAGATACGCCACTTGGTTCATCATTAGAGAACCCTAGAGATTCAACCGCTAATGCAACACCATCTTGATAGCTATTGTCTGAGATATTCCCACCAAGAAAGCTTCTTGATTTAAGAAACTGGAGAGAGAGTGCTGACACATAGTGTCCGTACCTAAGATGTTCCTCAATGTTTGGAGCTCTTGTTGTGTTGTTGAGTATAAGAAACATTTTACGAACTGAAGCAGCGTTGTCTAAACAGACAGCTCCATTGTCGGAACAGAAGAGATATGTTCCAAATGGACAGAATTGTTCACCGCTTCTTCTTGGAACGAGGTCGTGGACTGAGACCACGTGGCAGAAGTTGTGAGCTAGACGTGATCGGGAAATTGAGGAAGAGAGAGATTGGTTTCCGAGCAGAGGAGAGCCAAAGGTGATGCAGAGGAGAGAGAATGACGGCGGAGAAGGTTGAGAGAGAAGCCAAAGTGCGGTGAGTGCGGCCAATGTGCCGCCGGTTGAATGTCCGGTTATCACCACCTTCTTTCTTCCTTCTAATTCCAATCCTTCTATGATCTGCTTAATCGATAATTAGGTTGATTAATTCGGGATTAGATATAANGGTTCCCCTCTAGTAATGTTAAACCGATTTTGAAAATAATTTGCTAATTAATTGGTTTATCTAGTGATGCAAAAATACCGATTCAAACCAAACTGAAAAGAACCAATACCAAATAATGGGCCACAGAGAATGGATTATATGACCAAAACAACTTACTTGAACGAATATTCCCTCCGTTCCATAATCTTTGTAGAAGGTTTTTTTGTTTTAAAAAATAAAATATTTTTACACTTCTATAAATAATTTTAATTTTATTGGATATTGTGAATTGTGAGCAATACTCCCTCCGTTACATAATATTTTGAGAAGTTTTTTTGTTGAAAAAAATAAAATATTTTATACTTCTATAAATAATTTTAATTTT